TGTCACTGCTCCCCAGCCACCTGCTTTCCATCCCTGAAAACTACAAAGAATGCTACAGACATGATAAGGTTATACATACACACACTCACAAACTTTAAATGAAATATATGGGATGGGGATGCTTAATACCACTAGTCTTAGGCCTGATGGGAAAATTATGTATTTCCTTTTATATTATTTTGTATTGTTTTGCTTGGATTAGCTGCCTTATAGTAGATAACGTTAAGCAGTAAGGCCACATACATATTAAGTCATAGCTTTCCCATAAAATGTAAACCCCCAGAGCCAGGTGTAGGCGTGGGGTCATGGACCTGTGCTCCTACATGGCTGAGGCAGGATGATTGTGACTTTGAGGTCAGCCTGCGTTGCACAGCAAACCCCCGTCTCAGAGAAAGAAAAGGACCTGGATGAGGCACATTAGTTATAGTCCTTCAGAGTCCAAGTTAGTTCTGGATAAAGCATTGTCATCTGTGTCTCAGATGGTGCCACAGCTGGCATAAGAACTTGACGGCCTTATTTCTACTTGAGCTGGATTTGACTCAGTTTCAACTGCCTTTCCTTAACTGAGATTTCAGTGATGGCCATCCTGAGATGTCCATAGAGATAGCTTATTTAACAAATATGCATAGAACTTCTTAGACCAGGCTGGCCTCGAACTCACAGAGATCCACCTGCCCCTGCCTGCTGAGTGCCACCAATGATGTTTATTTTACCTGTTTGTTCAAGTTTGGGAATAATGCTTGAATTTTTAAGTACAAAATTTGAAGGCACAAATCCTGCAAAGGGTTGTTTGTTGATGAGGAAATGCTTTCTATATTTTGCCAGTTCCAGATCACTGGTCTCTGCTTTGTTTTAACCCTAAGGTGGTTTTCTGCACTACTATTGTGAACAGTTGCACATTGATGTTAATAAACAGTACTCTTTTACTTTCATTTAAAATCAAAGCTTAGCCAAGTGTTGGTGGTGCATTACTTTAAACCCAGAACCGGGAAGGCAGAGGCAGGTATATCTTTGTGAATTGAGGCCATTCTGGTCTACAGAGCGAGTTCCAGGACAGCCAAGGCTGCACAGAGAAACCCTGTCTCCAAAAAAAGAAAAAAGAAAAATTCCATGCTTACCTGAATGTGGTGGCTCTTAGATGAGCAATCCTAGCATTCAGGAGGGAGAGGCGGGAGGAGCAACGCAAGTTCAAGGCCACTGTGGTATAGCTTGTTTAATGCTAGCCAATAAGTATTGAGACCCTGTCTCAAGCATAACATGTGAGCTCGAGGTCTGAACTGTTTTCTTAAATATGAGCACAAGGATAGTATAATGCTAAACTTTGGTAGAATAGTATATATTGAAATCTTCACCCAAACAAACATAAAGAAAAACAACAAAACAAATGCCCGGTTTCCCCAAGTGTCTGCTGGTTTAGTGCTATGAAGAACACAGATGTGAAGGAAAAAGACATTTGAGCCTGTCTTAAAGGCTCAGTTTTTATCATAAGAACTGTTGAGTTATTTTAAGATCTTTATTCAGTAGCCTGTTTTAAAACTATTTGGGGTGATGTTTATGGGTATGTCACTACTCCAAGAAGGTACTGACAGGCGGACTTGGTGAAAATTGATCTTTCTCATAGCATTTAGGAAAAACACTGAATTTTAAGAAGCATTTTTCTATTTATATTAAAATGAAGACTTTAATTGTATTTGAAGGGATTTGTTAGCTTAAAAGAGAAGATGGCCTTGGGTGTTGGTGGCGCACGCCTTTAATCCCAGCACTTGGGAGGCAGAGGCAGGCGGATCTCTGTGAGTTCGAGACCAGCCTGGTCTACAAGAGCTAGTTCCAGGACAGCCTCCAAAGCTACAGAGAAACCCTGTCTCGAAAAACCAAAAAGAGAGAGAGAGAGAAGATGGAGGGAATATAGAGAATATTTCTGCCACCAGGGGGCAGCAAAGTGTCACTGTGCTGATACCACAAAAAAAGAATAGCTTTTGCTAATTTGTATAGTTACTTACTTAGAGCTCTGTCAAGAACATTTACTGTTGGTAAAACAGTCTAGTCTGCTTGTGTCTGTTTAGTTTTGTCCTCATAGGTCCACCTCTTCTTCACTCCTGTCTTTTTTTGTTTTGTTTTTGTTTTGTTTTTTGTTTTTTTGTTTTTCGAGACAGGGTTTCTCTGTGTAGCTTTGGAGCCTATCCTGGCACTCGCTCTGGAGACCAGGCTGGCCTCGAACTCACAGAGATCCGCCTGCCTCTGCCTCCCGAGTGCTGGGATTAAAGGTGTGCGCCACCAACACCCGGCCACTCCTGTCTTAAATGAACTGCTGAGACTGTTCTCGTGTGTTAGGGGTCATATTTGTAGTAAATGCACCTTACTAACTTGGTCAGCTTGCTACTTTTTTTGCTGAGAATCTCAAGCAGGAAACATTTGATTGTTTTATTTTATTTCTCTTCTCCATGAAGATAAGAAATACTTGAGACTTGGTGAAAACTCATATCAGCGTGTACACCTTTGGGGGAACACCTAGTCAGTACTGCACATTTAGGAAAGCATGTATGCCCTCTTCCCCATTCCTTGTTGGGTTTTTGTTCAATCATATTTTTATTCTACTGAATTTGTTTTAAGGCCCTTTGAAAATACCTATTTGTCATAATACAAACAGTTTGAAGATCTATAGTAGTCTCTGCTAACTTGGGGGAGAGGGGTTTGATGTATTCTGTATTTTGTGTCTTGGTGCCTTTTAATAGCAGTATGCCAGGATACCTGTTGGCACAAAGTTGATGGTTCTGGTTAGGGAAATTTTGATAAAAGCAATTGTAAAGCTAATCTTCTATAAGTTTCTCCATTGTTCTTGTTGGGCTTTGTTTTGTTTCTTTAAAGGCAAAATTTTCATTGTGTAGCTCTGGCTGGCCTGGAACTCACTATGTAGTCACGGGTGGCCCCAAATTCACAATGATCCACCTGCCTCAGTCTCCTGAGTGTGGGGATTGAAGATGTGTGCCCATTCCTGGCAGGTGTATTATTCAAACGTGTTCCATAAATTTATTTATAAAACCAAATTACCTCAGGCTAATTCCTTTGGGACTACATTTGTTGACTGAATTTTCAAACTTCCATAGGTTGTTTGTTTCTTTTTTTTATTTTTGGTTTTTTGAGACAGGATTTCTCTGTATTGCTTTGGAGGTTCTGTAGACCAGACTGGCCTCGAACTCACAGAGATCCTCCTGTCTCTGCCTCCCGAGTGCTGGGATTAAAGGTGTGCGCAACCAGCGTCCGGCCCCCTAAGTTGTTTGTTTATGTGTACATGTGTATGTGGGTACACATGCATGTGGAGGCTGGAAGTAACATTGGATGTCTTCCTCAATTGTTCGGCATCTTATTTTTTAGATAGGGTCTCTCATTGCACCTGGAGCTCACTAATTCAGCTAGGTAGACTGGCCAGCAATCCCTGGGCATCCTCTTGTTTTTGCCTTCCTAGTGCTAGGATTGCCTGGCTGTTTGGAGATGCATTTCAAGTCCTCAGGGCTTCATGGCAAGCGCTTTACTGATTGAGTCATTTCCCTGGCCCCAAGTTTGTTTGTTTGTTTTAAAATGGAATATGCATAGATTCCCCTATAGAATAAAATGCTAGTGAAAATGCCCTGTTTCTCTTTGAGAGTGCAAGACCCAGGGAACAGGTAGTTTTTAAGATTTGAATGGTTTGAAATAGAATTAGATTTGTTAACCAAGTTTGGAAATGTTAACAGTTAAATTTCTTTTATAGAAACGATACCAACTGGTTACACACATTTTCCTTTGGTTTCCTACACCAATGTGATTTTCCCCACATTAAAAAAAGTTATGTGTGTGTGCATGCATGCACCCATGTATATACCAGTGCATGCACTCGGGGACACATGTGGAGGTTAGGGGATAGCCCGAAAGGTTTGGTCCTCCCCTTCCATCATGGTCCCAGGGATTGAACTTGGTTTGTCAGCCTTAGTCACAGCAGCTTGTACCCAGTGAGTGATCTTTCTGACCCTATAGTTTGATTTGCCAGGGTTCCCGAGGAAAGTCCCCCACCCATCCCCAAACACACTTCTTTTTTTCCTGAAGCGTATTGCAGTGTGAAAGTAGACTAGCAGAACTTAGAGAAGAGGAACATTTAGCACTGTGTGATGGGATAAATAGGGCTCTGGTCTGGTTTGTATTTGTGATGAATGCTTGCCCAGAAGTACTTGCAAGGGGAACTATGACAGGAAGGTCATGAGTTTGAGGCCAGACTGGGGCTACTTAATGAAACTCTTTGGAAATGAAGGCAATTGCCCATTTTCTCCAAGAGAATATCTGTCCATCTACTCCTTCCTCTCTCTTTTGAGAGAGGTGTAGGGGCAGTGGAAACAGAGTCCTATTTTGTCTACCAAGCTACTCTGGAATTTACACTGAGGATCAGGCTAGTCTCACAGTCAGTGGTAGCACTGTGAGCCTCCCAATCCTGGAATTACAGGTATGAACTACTGTGCCCAGAACTTTGGCCTTTTCCTTTCTGTACCCGAGATCTATAAAGTTTTAGAGATAGATTTTATACATTAAAATCTAAATATAATTAATTTATTTGGTTCTGTAAATTGTTGCACTGTATGAGTTTAGAAGTAAAGTGTTCTCCGCCTTCTCCGCTGCATGATGAAGTAATTGTTCAAATGTCCCATATATAATTTGGGGATCACTCTGGGATAATTTATCTTCCCAGAAATAAGAATAACTATAAGTCTTTAGATACAATGTGATTCCATTTTTTTTTCTTGAAAAGTATTTTTTGGAGGGAATAAAACCCTCATTTGATAATGTAATGATTCCTTTTATCTCATTTTTATTGACATTTGGAAATATTTCATCTTAAGAAGAGTCCAAATAAGCTTATTTGTATTGAATAATTCAGTAAATTTTTAGTTGTTAACATGGATCTTATCTTTTTTTTCTTTAATTTTTTTTTTCCTCTTTGAGGGGCTGGATATAATTGCCTTGTTTCATTTCAGGGATCCTTCTAAAGTAAATATTCTGGTACCTGGTGCTGGACTAGGAAGATTGGCCTGGGAAATAGCTATGCTAGGTTATGCTTGTCAAGGAAATGAATGGAGTTTTTTTATGCTCTTTTCTTCCAACTTTGTACTCAACAGGTATTTAATTTACTTTTTGCTGGAAATAGTAACTTCTTAAAATCAATTTGCTTTACCTATTTTTGAACAATTCTAAAATAGAAGAAAAGTATATAGTACTTCACTGATGTAGATCATATTTACATTAAATTCATAATGTTTATATTGATTGCTAATGTAGCCAGTGTTAATTAGCTAACATGTTGACACAGGGCAATCAAACAACTGTTTAGAAAGTAATTGGGCATTCCATGAAATTAATTAATTAATTAATTCTATAGGGTTTTTTTTTTTCTTATTGTTTTTTTAAGCTTTTTCACCTTTTGTTTCTTGGTGAAGAGTTTATGATAGCAACTCTAACTATTTTCACTAACTGACTTTGCAGTAAGTGGCCATACATGTTCACATAACTGATTTGGAATGAGGTCTGAGAAGCTTTGTCTTCTACCAGACGGTAGTGGAAAAGAGTTACTATTTTTAAGTTAGAAGTTACAGTGTGTTAGAGACAAAGAATTTGCTGCCTGTTTCAATAGCACATTCCTGGTAATTTACCCAGTTCTTCAATGCAATGCTGTGTTACTGGTGGCAGTATGAGTTGCTGGTGAGATGGGGGAAGAAGAAGGTTACATATAAAATGGTAAAAATAGGTAACAAGACTAGTTTCCTTGTTTTTACTCAAGTTTGAGATTCAGGAATACATTTTTGCTGGGTGTGGTGGCACAGGCCTCTAATCTCAGCTTTTGTGGGGTTAAAAACAAGAGGATCAAGAATTTAATGTCATCTTTAGTACACAGTGAGTTCAAGGCCACGCTGGGCTACATAAGACCCTTTCTGAAAAACCAATAAAAATGTAATATTTTTTAATAAATTCAAATTAATAGCACATGAGAATCTCTGAATTTCTTTTAATCATGGTTGGTCATCTACATGTATACACAGCTTCAGATAACTGAGTGAAGTATAGATTAACACTCTTCAGTCTAATAAGTTACATGTGAAAACCTTCTATCAATAGATAGTTTAGTACTTAAAGTTGATTCATCTTTGGTAAAATGAATGGTTAATATTGAACCTTATGCTCATATTTTACAGATGTTCTGAAATTAACAAATATCAACTTTATCCCTGGATCCATCAGTTTAGCAATAATCGGAGATCAGCTGATCAGATTCGACCCATTTTTTTCCCTGATGTTGACCCCCACAGTCTTCCTCCAGGTTCTAACTTTTCAATGACAGCAGGAGACTTTCAGGAGATTTACTCAGAATGCAGTAAGTTCAAAGCAAGTATTTAAGAACTTATCTGTTACTGTAAATGGTGAACCCAGTGTTGTAACTATTTGTTTTGATGATGGAATAAAAGGTGTGCAATGTCAGTGACATTATAGAATATTTTCAAAGTAGCGAAAAGGGCAGTGACAGGAAATGTAAAGAAAAAGATGTACATTCAAGAGATGTTCAAAGGAGTTCAAATTATGTGTGCCGATTGGAGTAAGGTAGAAATAAAATAGTAGGAATGGAGCTCTTGGTAAAGAGGCTGTGACTTGATGGACAGAGACCAATAGTTATTTGAGATACAAAGATACAAAAGAATAAGGTCATCAGAGACTGTGGCAGGGTTAGATTGGCAAGGAAAGAGCTATGTTTTGAAAAGTAGGTTAGCTTCAGTTGCAGAAGACTTGCTTCAGGTTGGAAGTTCGATTTCAGTCTGGCAGATTATGGAAGCTATTGGAGGGAGGCAGTAATGGAAAGGGGAGAATATGAACTGGCAGGAGCAGGAAGAAGGAAAACAATTCTGAGCAGTAGCAAGAGTATTCTTTCAACAAATCTGTTTACCAACTGAAGTGACAAGTACATTCTAGACATTCAAAGCACAATGGTCCACCGGACAAAGTTCCTAGCCACTCTGGAAGTGACTGAGAGACCCTAACGTACAGTATTGTTTGGAAGAAAATAGAAACTAAGAAGGAAATTGTCACTTACATGTTTAGGAATGGCAAGGGTGTTAGGGTAGAGCACTTGGCTGTGCTTAGGAGGGTTATGGTGAAATGGGTTATGGGGACGAGGGAGATAAGAGGGTAGAGGGTTGGTTAGGCCACCTCAGAGCAAGAAATTGAGTTGTACTCTGAGAAGGACAGGAAGCCCCCAGAAGATGGCTTAAAGCACAGTAAGATTTTGTGTATCTAATTTCCCAAAATAGGTTTTTGTTTCCCCTAAATTCTGAGATTGGGACAACCTGCATTCTGAAGTTAGAAAAGAACACTGGGAGAGGTTAAGCTGTTGGGTAAATGTTTAGGAACAAGATCTCAGAATAGAGAAATAGTGGAAAGTATCACGATGCAGCTAAGAATCATTTTCCTCTGACTGGGACTGGAAGAGGACGCAGGTGATCTCTTTTAGGCAGGGCACTTTTACCACATCAGAACTAGAATAGGCACTACATCTCAAATCTGGTCCCTACCTCTGCCTGGCAACAGTTTCCAAGAGCTAACCAGAGTTCTTGTTGGGGGCCCATGTTTGCCTGTGTTTTCCCCAGCCATCTTCTCCCTGATGATTATCAAGTCATGGTAGGTGTTTGGGTATTTTGATGTCATCATTTCTCAATGACAAGAAAGGCCTGCTTCTAAAACCTGCCAGAATCAGTGATTAACACTGGTTTCAATCAGAACTCAAAATTTAAGGTGACTGTTATTTTAACAGATTTTAGATGAGAGTTAGGGTAGCCCAGTCACAGAGCACTTTCCTAGCTTAAGACCCTAGGTTTAATTACAAGTATCACAGAAGTAAACATAGTAAAACTAAAGACTAGCAGTTGAGTAGACGCTAAGCAACTCTTTAGTAGTATCATTTGGTAACATGTAGTGATGTGTTAATAACACATGATTTCCAAATTGACTACTGTAACTACTGTGCTATAATCATCTGGATTGTAGTGTTTATAATTATAGTACAGTGATATATCCCTTCAGGTAAATGAAATCTTAATACTCTGAAAGAGTTAGTTGGCAAGCTTAAAGGGTAATAGAAAAACAACATAAACAAAATAACAGATGCAGTGGTCTGATTTCTGTTGATTAGATACCTGGGACTGCATTGCCACCTGTTTCTTCATAGACACAGCTCACAATGTAATTGATTATATCGATACAATATGGAGAATACTCAAGCCAGGTGGAATTTGGATAAACCTTGGTAAGTGTTTTCATGTTCATGAACATTTTACACATCTGTTTTAGGATTAGAGCTCTTTTCCATTTGGCAGAGGCACAGTATCAGATGCTTGTGAACATTATAATTGTGTTGTATTTTCCGTTAGACTACGTCCGAGCGTGTGATACCGCTTGAATGCAGTGGCAGTCCAAGCATTGGGATAACCTTCTTAGGTCAGCCTTGTGGGTCTTAACTTCAGCACATACTAAGTTTAATATGCTGATTCAGTACTCAGTCCCTTGTACTCTTCCCATTCCATGAAGGTGGTGGCATTTCAGTCTCAAGAAGAGAGTGTTTTCAGAGACTGAAGTAGCAAACATGGGGCCTGCATAGGTCTGCACCAGATCCTCTGACTACATGTTTGTTTGTTTGTTTATTTAAATTAGCAACAAGCTTCTTTCACATGCCAGTCTCAGTTCCCTCTGCCTCCCCACCTCCCCTTGCCCCTCACTGATCCCCTTTCTGCTCCCCAGGGAGGGTGAGGTCTTCCATGGGGGGAATCTTCAGATTCTGACACATCATTTGGAGCAGGGCCTAGACCCTCCCCAGTGTGTCTAGGCTGAGAGAGTATCCCTCTGTGTGGAGAGGGCTCCCAAAGTCCATTTGTGTACTAGGGGTAAATACTGATCCACTACCAGTGGCCCTATAGATTGTCCAGACCTCCAAACTGACATCCTCGTTCAGGGAGTCTGGAACGATCCTATGGTGGTTTCCCAGCTATCAATTTGGAGTCCATGAGCAACCCCTTGTTCAGATCAGCTGTTTCTGTGGGTTTCTCCCCTCTGAGTATATTTTATGACTGTTAGCTTGGTGTTCTTGCAAGACTCCTAACAGTGGCTGGGTATTGGTGGCGCACGCCTTTAATCCCAGCACTTGGGAGGCAGAGGCAGGTGGATCTCTGATCTCAAGGCCAGCCTGGTCTCCAGAGCGAGTGCCAGGATAGGCTCCAAAGCTACACAGAGAAACCCTGCCTGGAAAACCCCCCAAAAAATCCAACAACAACAAAAAGATTCCTAACAGTGGGGGTATGTATATCCTGCTCTTTTGCCCGCTCGTGAGACTCTTTTCCTCCTGTTAGGTTGGTTTGTCCAGCCTCGATATGAGAGCTTTCACCTTGTCTTACTGTATCTTGTTTTGTCCTGGCTGGCTCGAGTCTCATGGAGACCTGCTCTTTCCTGAAGAGGAAATGGAGGGGAGTGAATCTGAGAAAGGGTAAAAGTGTGGGGAGTTAGGAAGAGTGGAGGGAGGGGAAACTGGTTGGGATGCATTATTGTATGAGAGTAGAATCTATTTTCCAAAAAAAAAAAAGTTCACACACAAAGAAGAGGACAATGTTTTATTGTTTTTAATCTTTAGAAGAAGGATTTTACCTCCATCATGGAATTCTCTTCCTCAGTAGATGAGGTAGTTTTTCTAACTACCATGAGTTTAAGAAGCAATAGAAATACAATTTCATATATGCAAAAAACCCTTGTACTTTGAGTCTACTGCTTGATACTAGACAAAATTATGAGTATGACTTGTTGTTTATCAAGAATCTAAAGGGAATTGCTTATTTTCTCCTCTTAAAGGTAGAAGGAGTGTCCATTTAAGTGTGCCTCTCTTCCTTAAGTGTGATGTATACCCTATGTTGAAAAAGTTAACCACACTTTGAATATGATGAGACTTTCATGATGAGGACTCTACCACAGAAAAGGACAGATACTTAAAGGCCTAGTTTATTGCTGAGGTTCTGTCAATTGTACTGTATAATGATTTTATTTATACTAGAATTTTTTTTTCATCAGGATCAAGACTAGAAGTAGTAAATCTTGCCACTTTCTCTTCAGAATTTTTAAGATTAGATGAGAACAGCTGTAAAATCCAGTCATCATAAGGGTCAAATACCTCAGACTTTAGGAGTTTAAAAGTAAATGCTTTGGGAAAGTTGGCCCAGGGAATGAAGGCCACTACTGAGAATCTATGTGTTTCCTGTGATTTGGGTACCCTTATAAATAATTTAAATTCATAGCAATCCTATCCTGTTTTGTGTTTCTAGGGATCAGGGTAGGGCCTGTGTACCTAGACAAGTGCTCTTTCCATTGAGCTATATCCTCAGCCTCCCTGAGCAACCCTAATGAAACGGCAGTATTTACTAATAGTGAAAGAAAGTGAGTCTTGCTTAAATAACTAGTAGAAAGGTCCCAGAGTTTACTTGTGGCAAGAGGCAGGCCCATGGCCTGACACTGTCAGTTTGTGCTTAGCATTAACTATATATATATATATATAGGTTTAGATTCTAGTTCTGTGTTATGATAAGGTTTGTTGTCCTTCTAAGGTACTTGATTTAACTGATAAAAGCAACTTTGTGCACGAACACTTGTTTTATTAATATTTTACTCACGAACACTTGTTTTATTAATATTTTACTGAGTTATATAATAAATGCCTGAAACAAAGTTGGCCTTTCTAAGCTGGAGGGCTGTTAGCTGAAAGTAGTTTATGATACAGTATGTCTTACAGTACTGGGCAAGAGAAGTCATGGAGCAGGTAGCTTATAAGAGGACAGTTAGACCTTCCAGTCATCTAGCCACAGGGTTTCAAAACAATCTGAAGAATTACAATAATAGAAAAAGCTACCTTACTTTAATACTTCATAAATAGTAAGTGATATGGGAAGTATATGTGGCCCACAAAGCCTTAAGTATTTGCTAATAATATTCTATATTTGTTTAATTATATTTTCTGTCAGAAGAAAATAATTAGATAAGGCCTAACACTAAAAGTCAGTTAATGAACAGGCATGCCCAACAAATTTTAGACTGGACCTGTCTCCTAACAGCAGGAAATGGATAAGTAGTTTTAAGATTTCCACAGTAAGCATATTCCTTAGACATAATGAACAAAGCTTAAGACGCTGAACCATGCATGTAATACTTTATACTGTGCATCAAGGAAAGCCTGCAAGGAGATACAGTATATTTGCTACCGAGAGTCAGTGAATGGATTAGAGATGGTTTTATTTTCTTTTGATGCTCTTTCATGTTGCCTTAACTGTCTGAGCTTACTCTATATTTTATGGTCAAGGAAAAAACATCTTTGTTCTTTTAATTTGAAAAGAGATGATAATTGAAAAAAATAACTGACAATTTCTGTTTGGGTTTCTGTAACCCAAGTTTCCCCCTTTCAAGAATATCATATAACCAGAACCCTATGGTGTAGTACTTAATGTATCTGGCTCCATTATCTAGCATGATGATTTTGAGACCCACCTAGGTTGCTACATAACCAGTGTGCTATTCCCTTTTATTGCTGAATGATACTTCACTGGATGGATGGGTGACATTTTATTTATCAGTTCTCAGTGGATGGACATTTGATTTTTTTTTTTTCCAGACTGTGCTGGTTAGGAATAAAGTTGCTATCAACACTTGGCACAAAATCTTACGTGTGGCTATAAAGTTTCATTTCTTGGGCCGGACAGTAGTGGCACACACCTTTAATCCCAGCACTCGAGAGGCAGAGGCAGGTGGATTTCAGTGAGTTCAAGGCCAGCTTTGTCTAAAAAGCTACACAGAGAACCCCTGTCTCGGGAAGAGAGAGATGGGGGGGAGGAGGAGGAAGAGAAGGAGAAAAGGAGGAGGGGGAGGGGGAGGAGAAGGAGGAGGAGGAGGAGGAGGAGGAGAAGAAGAAGAAGAAGAAGAAGAAGAAGAAGAAGAAGAAGAAGAAGAAGAAGAAGAAGAAGAAGAAGAAGAATTCATTTCTCTTGGTTTAACACCTAGTAAATAAATTTCTTAGTTATGTGTGATGATACCAAATTTTGCCAGAAACTACTAACCTGTTTTCCAGAGTAACAGTTCCATTCCTTCTCACCCCTGATAAGGTTTTGAGACATTACTCCTCATGCAGTTGTGAATGAAAATCTATGCAGATCTTTCCTAACTTGAAAGTCTAAATTGCTCAAAAATCTAAAATGTTGATATGCTAAGTGGCAAAGTTCATACATGATCTCATCTGACAGATCATAGGCAGCATGTATGTGCACTAAAAGTACTGTACAAAATTAGTTTTATAGTTTAGGATTATAACTCATTGGTAGAGCCTTACAAGCAAAGCCCTTGGTTGTGCAGTACTGTCCAGACAACTATTAGGCTGTGCAATTTAGTATATATGAAACAAACTAGTTTTGTGGTTGGACTCAGTCCCTTCCTCTACTTCCTTTTGTATATGTAAATATTCTAAAATCTAAAACACCTGTACTTAAATACTTTGAATAAGGGACCTCCATCTGTAACTCTTGGCAGGTTGAACCAAGTCAGTAAAAATATTTGTTATCTCAAGAAGTGTTTTTGTATAAGAAAAGATCTGAAATATGTGGAGATATCTGTCAAAGCAGACTTTATAACAAAAGACTACAGAATATATTCACACCAGTTATTGTCCTTAACTGATAATGCTATAAACACTTAAGTTATATAGTCAGCATTTACTGGTCATTTTGGTAGACTTAAAAGAAAATTAAAGACATCATCTTTGAGCTGGTGAGATGGTTATATGGATGGGAATGCTTGCTATGCAACCATGAGGACCTGAATTTAAATCCTAGCACCCATATACAAAGCCAGATATTCAGCTTGGAGACATGGCTTAGAGGTTAAGAGCACTTGCTACTCATCCGGTGGGCCAGAGTTTGATTCCCAGACCCATGTTTCATGGCTCACAACAGCCTGTATTTCAATCACTGGATGAATCTGATTCCTTCTTTAGGCCTCTGCAGGTATCTGCAGAAATGTGGCGTGCACTTAACAAAGACACATACACATAAATAAAATAAATCTTATAAAATGAAAAGGCAGATGTTGCCATGAGCATGCCTGAAAGCCCAGTGCTGTTGGAGACAGAGATAGAGGATTACTGGGGCTTGCTGGCCACTACCATAGATGGTCCCAGGTTCAATAAGAGACCTTGTCTTGAAGAAATAAGGTAGAGAATGATAGAGAAGGATATCCAGTGTCATCCTCTGATGCCACACATGTTCATATGCACCACACTCATCTGTGTCATTGCTTGATGATTTGTTTGCAAATTAGAGAATCCTGATACTTGCCTGAAGGTACACTGCAGTAAATGAGTTTTAAAGGATGTTGTACTGTGAATGGGTTATTTTAACTTACAGATTATAGTCAATCATGCAGGGAAACCAAGGCAGGCAGGAGCTTGAAGCAGAAACAACAGAGGAATTCTACTTCCTGATTGCTTTCTCTGGCTTGCTCAGCTACTTTTCTTGCCACACCCTGGTCCCAAATGTCTAAGGATGACACTCCCCACAGTGGACTGTGCTCTTTTGCATCATTAGCAACCAGAAAATGCCTCATTAACATATCCAAAGGTCAATCTTAAGGGGATAGTTCCTTGGTTGAAAGACACAACTCTTCCCAGGTGCATCAAGTTGACAACCAAGATTAGCTTTTGCAAGAATGATCGATCAATCAGGCTGGAATTATGGATTTCAGCAAAATTTTGAAGCATAGCTAAAATTTGAGTTTGATGGGTAGGGCTTTATAGGCTTTTGAGATCAAACATGGAAGTAGAAAGACAATACAGATGGCTCATTGCGGGCGTGTATACCTACAAAACTGTACTTTCAGATGCGCTTAAAACACTAGAGCAAGGGGGGCTGTAGAGAAGGCTCAGTGGCTAAGAGAACTTACTACTCTTGCGGAGGACCCAGGTTTAGTCCCAGCACTGCCATGTTGGCAGTGGCTCACAACCTTCTCTAACTAACTCCAGTTCCAGGAGGCTCTGATGCCATTTCCTGGCCTCCACATGGTGCATACACATACTTGCAGGCAAAAACATCCATGCACATAAAATAAACATTTAAAAGGAAGTGGAACGGGAGAGGCATAAAATAAGCTTCAAAGGCTATAAAGATTGCTGTAAAGCTCTGCACGCTAAGAAGGCTCTGATGTAGTTTAGGACTGAACAGATGGCCAGAAATTGTCTCAGGAAGAATAGGTTTTTTGTTTTTGGTTTTCTTTTTTCTCTTCTTTTTTTTTTTGTTTTTTTGTTTTTTGTTTTTTGTTTTTTGTTTTTTTTTTTCGTGACAGGGCTTCTCTGTATTGTTTTGGAGGCTGTCCTGGCACTCACTCTGTAGACCAGGCTGTCCTTGAACTCACAGAGATCCACCTGCCTCTGCCTCCCAAGTGCTGGGACCAAAGGCGTGCGCCACCAATGCCCAGCTAAGAGTAGTTTTTAAAGAAGAACCACTGTTGTTTTGAAAAGTGTGCTAACATTAATTATATTCATGGTCATTTATTCTGGTGGTTTAGGTAGGGTAAAAATAGAAGGGAGGAACAGAATAACTAGATTCTTAGCATTTGAGAGGCAGAGGCATTGCGCTACATTGAAAAACTCTACCTTGTAGACAAAGATTCTGTGCCACCAGGTCCCGCAGCCCTTTAGTCCCAAATAACTACACAGAGGCTTATATTAATTATGAACTGGCCGATGGCTTAGGCTTTTTACTGGCTAGCTCTGTCTTGATTATTAACACAAACCTATTAATCTATGTATTTCTACATGGTCTTACCTTACTGGAGAATATCCGGACCTGTTACTCCTTTGGCAGCTACATGTGTCTCTCTGGCAGCTCCTCTCTGCCAGAATTCTCTTTGTCTGGTAGCCCTGCCTACACTTCCTACCTGGCTACTGGCCAATCAGTGTTTTATTCATCGACCAATAAGAGAAACATATTTACAGAAGGATATTCCCCCATCATCTCCTCTTTTCTGTCTAAATAAAAAGAAAGGTTTTAACTTTAACATAGTAAAATTATATATAACAAAAATAGTTATCAAGTAAGAACTATAGTTAACAATATTTAGTCCATTTACATTTGGCAACATTTAAAGAAAATATTCTATCTTTGTGAGTCTAAAGTTTTATATGTAACTTATCTTCTATCATAACTAAGGAGAACCGTAACCATAAGTATCTATCTTCAACTCCATCAAAGAAAGACCTCAGAAGGATAATATATAAATTCTAGAATTAACAGAGACATCCTGCTGCCTAGACAGTCACCCAAAATTCCTCTGTAATGTTGAAGCATCTGTCTTCAGCCTATAAGCCTAGAATGTCTGGCAATACTACTCAGCGAAGCAGGAAATTTGAAACTGTCCCACCTGCATTGGCAGTTTGTCAGTCATTTTTCTCTGTGCCCTGTAGAATGTCTGACAGACTCTTCCATGAAGCAGGAACCCTGAAGGACTATCCCATCTTGTTTTGGCAAGTTCAGCAGTCACTTTCCTGTGGGTCCTGCATGTCCAGTTTATACAGCATACAGTCAAACAGTCCAGGCAAGAGCAGTTTCTTCCCCAAGTGGCTAGTCTTGCCATGTCAAAGGCTGTCAGATATGCTAGGCCTATAGGCCGAAGATGGAGGCCCCAACTTACAGAGCAATCTGGGGTGGCTGTCCAGGCAGCCAGCTGTTTCTGTCATTTCCCACAGTTTTTGGAAGTTGCTTGTTAACACTTCCTGTTTACTCAGTTAATGTTATTTCCTTCTTGTGTCTCTGAGGGACTTGAAGACTAAATAGTATAGTTAGTTATAGTTTTCCTTGTTTACCATAATCAGTAAAGAAACTCACTATCAATCTGCTAAGTGTAATAGATTTAAAAGATATCACAAGATAATTTGATAATGCAAATTAGAATAGAAAGTAAATTAGGTACAAGACTTTGGCCACATCAAGGAAGAATAGATAATGGAGTATTTTCTTGGAATTTGTCATATGCTAATGGACTAGACATTGTTAATGTACTTGTTGCCATGTATATATTGCATATAGTAATTGTACTTATAGTTTTTCTTATATTAGTTAAAACCTTTTTAAAAACTTTAGACAAAAAAGGGGGATATGTGGTGATATCTTGCATATACAAATAAAGCCTATCTGAGGGTCAGAGAATGGAGCTTGCCACTAGCTAACCATAGAGGTCTGGAGGTCTGTACAGACCTACAGGAAGTGAGGTAGCTGAGCAGAAACAGGATATAAGCAGGGAGAAACAGGAAATTGCTGTCTTGTCTGCTGAGATGATACGGAGGTAAGGTGTGGCTGTGGCTTTCTCCTTCTCTCTGATCTCTCAGCATTTCCCTCTATATCTGAATTTGAGTTTTTATTATCTGGACCAATTAAGAACTCCATTTACACTACCTCAAAACTAAAGGAGAAGTAAGTGTTTACCCACAGCATGACAGGATGGCAAAGCCTCTTAGGAGCAGAAATTGTCTCACTTGTTACTTTTATCTTCCTAGCTTTTTTTCCCCCCCATCTCAGGATGTTGTCTGAGGAGTGTAAATGGAGCTAGCTGTATGTAGGATTTATGATGAAATGAATCAAAGGTAAAGACAAGACTAATCTGAGGCTACAATTGTGACATGGTGTTTTCTTGGCTGAAACTGATGGGTTTGTGTTCCACAAGTTTGGATGATTGTCCTCAGCAAATGTAGTTGATCTTTTCATTTTTACCTTATTTCCTACTCGACTAGTACATCTGTAATTCAGTGTACAAAGCTTATGTTCATGTAACTCATTCATAGTATCTTCAAACCATAGGTCCTCTACTATACCATTTTGAAAATCTGGCAAATGAACTTTCTATAGAATTGAGCTATGAGGATATTAAAAATGTTGTTCTGCAGTATGGATTCCAACTGGAGGTAAGAAACAGTACCAAAGTTTAACTTGAAAGCCTTTAAACAGGAATATAGGCATTATAGCAGTTACTAACTTTACTTCTTCACTTCTCCTCATCCAGATAGAAAAGCTATTGTTACATGGCTTTCTTAATTGTAAAGATTTGGAACAATATGTATGTAAAGGGAAAATTATAATTCCTGTTGAAATAGACCTTCAGTAAATGGTAGCTGATAATGGCCTGAGTAATCTCTCACTGACAGGTACCAAGTACACTAGACTCTGGAGAAGGCAGATGATGGGAAGGCAGGTACAAAGAAGCAATTCTTTGTATCTTACTTTCTACTTCCTGTCCTTTCTCCTCTCCCACACCCCTGTATTAAATAGAACTTTATTGTACTTTGGCTGTTAAGTTGATTATTTACTATTATACTCACTTACAAAAGTGGATTTATGAATAAAGAGAAGCAATGCATCTGTAGCACTTTGTAGTTAAGATGGCCTGAATTTGAATCCATTTTTAACCATATGTTAGTGGTGTGATGCTGATCTTACATGACCTATTAATGTTGTGAGATTTTGGATGCTATCAGTCTTATGGGAAGTATTGTTTAAATATAGTTATGATACCACCTACCACTAACTTCTTGTTATTTGTTAGTAGTGTTGCCATCATGATCTTATTATGATTTTTGTTTGTATTACAGGTGGAAAAAGAATCTGTATTGTCAACATATACTGTGAATGATCTCTCCATGATGAAATACTACTATGAATGTGTCTTGTTTGTAGTCCGGAAGCCACAGTAATGGTCTTAAGTGATATTACCCAGAAAAAAGTTTAATATGAGCAAATACTGAAATAAACAACTCACAGTCAACTATCAGTGACAGCAGGACACAACCTCAAATCAGTGGTGCCTTCTTATTCCTAACAAAAATTTAGAAATAGTGTCTATTTTCTTAATAATATCTATTGCTTTTTTCAGAAATACACTATACGATGCAGATTTGTACTGCACAAGAAAAATAACAGAGAAAATGTCTCCCGTGCAGATATATAATGGAGGAAATATCTTCAAGTACTTTTTTCTTTGAAGCCCAGAATTGTCTTTCTTTAAGAAAATAAACCTAAACTCCCATCTTCATGAAGCTGTTGCAAGTCTGCCATATTAATGACCGATAGTGCTAAAGTCCACACTAATCTCCTTTTGAGGTTTTACGTTGCCCGTATTTCTTTTAGAAGAGTCTAAGGATCCTCTGTCATATTCAGCATCTGGAACTGGAACTTTGTTTTCATTGGACCTAAATAACCTATACTTAAAGAACTTTGAAACTGTTCTTTCATTATTCAAATTTGTTTTTTTTTCTTAGCTCAGCTGAATTTAAAGAGGCATCAAATATGTCTTCTATGGAATACCAATTCAGTTGTATCACAGGTGAAAGAAAATTCAATGAAATATAATCAACAGAGAAAATCAGTCTTTGTCCATGATAAAATGAATCTTATGTTAACTCCTGGATTCCTTTGAAATGTATAAGATATAAACATTCAGAGGCACAAAAGTTTTTTTTTTTTTTTTTTAATCAGTGTTAAGTAACTGGAAAAATAAGGATAAAAACTGCCCATCTGAATTACATAACTTCAATTTAGCAATGAGTTATAAAGTTTGTCAGTGTAATGTTTACAATGATGTCATTTATTAAGTATGTGGCTTATGAAAGCAAGCACTTTTTTAGTTAAATTGTATTTTAGTAAAAACTGTCATGATAGGATTAATGTGAGAAGTTTTGAGTATGAAATTCAGGGATAAGTTAATACCCACGGTCTGTGTCTTCAGTATCCTAGGCAGCAGCCATTCATGGAATTCCAGATTAATACCAGTTTTGTCCCGATAGGGTTGAAGTTTAAACAGTCTGCATGCTGCTTTAATTTTCTACCTCTAGGGAGGCCTGTCTGGGGGGAGTTTTCCTTGTTACTGTTAGTTTTAACGTTTGTTACTCTGTTTCCATTAGCCAGGAAAGCAAAAATGGCTGATGTTTTAACATCTACAAGAAAGAAAAAGCTCTTGCTGACTATTTCACAGATGGCTGTGACCTCTGTGTCATTTGGATTAGATGGATTTAGTATGTACTGGTGGCATAACTGCCATGTTGCAGTGCTTTAATAAGAAGCCTTATTGTAAACCTCTAGGCCTCTATGTTGCTTAGGTTTGTAGGTCTATAGGACCTGCTGTCCTTCTAATTGGGAGTTCTACACAGTGTAGGAATTTTTGTCATCTCTCCTCCCCTTATGAAGTATATGGAGCCATATACTTACCTTTTCAAAGTATTTCTTGTTTTTCCAGTGCTCAGTACTTCATAAAAGGGTGGAAATTCTCACCATTTGCAAGGGTGAAAAATCTTGCCGAATTATTATTATTATTTTTTAAGCTGCTCGGTCAACAAGGAATCTTGACCTGGTAGGGATTTTTGCCTTCCCAGTGTGTTATGTACCACGCAGTTTGTTTTTTGTTTTGTTTTGTTTTTCTGAGACAGGGTTTCTCTGTGGCTTTGGAGGCTGTCCTGGCACTTGCTCTTATAGCCCAGGCTGGCCTTGAACTCACAGAAATCCACCTGCCTCTGCCTCCCGAGTACTTGGACTAAAGGCGTGGGCCACCACCGCCCGGGTATTTTTTTAAGGGAAAAAAAAATTAATGTATTTTAAAAACATTCATTGAACAGCAAGGATTGCATATTTTTGTTTTGTTTTCTTAGTTGTGATTTAGGAATGTTTTTATTCATTTTGTAATATTTTTTTATAGCCTTGGTTTTGTTTTTCTTACAAAGACAAGAACAGACTGACACCAGTGGGTTGGTTTTGTTACCTAAAGTTTTTGGGTTTTTTTGTTTTTTTTGTTTTTGTTTTTTTGGTTTTTCGAGACAGGGTTTCTCTGTGACTTTGGAGGCTGTCCTGGAACTAGCTCTTGTAGACCAGGCTGGTCTCGAACTCACAGAGATCCGTCTGCCTCTGCCTCCCGAGTGCTGGGATTAAAGGCGTGCGCCACCAATGCCCGGCTTAAAGTTTTTTTTTTTTTTTTCTGTCATGTTTTATTCTTTAATAATACTACTTACATTTCTAAATTATATATTTTACTTAACTCTGAAATCAGTTATTTCATTTATTTTTAGTTTTCCTTATATCATGAATATTTTTAAAAGTATTCCTTATAAATTTGCATTACTTTCTCTTGTTGCTTTTGAAGTTAATATATTCTAAACTTGAAAATGTGGTATAAATCATTAATAGATGTATCACTGGAGGAGTTTAGTTTTATATTTTTTATATTTAGATCTAGCCACTGATGGGTGTAAGCCTTGAAATTTTAAATTCTGTTTTTTAAATTTGTTCTACACACAAATTTTTCATTTTCATAAGGTGATCATGTGCTTGCTAGTTTTTAATTCTGACTTTGAGGTGGTGCAAATTTAGGTTCTGATCAGTGAGCAAGATAGGACATATCCTATACAGGGAAGCTGCAGAAATGGCAGTATGAAATAATCAAGTTTGAGAAGTGTAAAGGATATGCTATTTATATGTAATTCACATTCTAAACGTTGCCAGAAGGTTGAATTGGAAGCTTCATGTCTGCATGAAATTTCCTATATTTTTAATGTGTATATGGACTTAATTTTTCTTAAATATTAAAGTCGCCAATTGCTATAACATTTTTTGTTGGTTGTTTCCCTCTATGTAATGATAGCCATAATGGGAATATTATTTAATTGATCACATTCTTTTCAACTCTCATCCTAATTTTTCTATGCCTTTAGAAAGTTAGTAATGAGTATTTGACCTTTACGTTTGCTAAGTGTTTATTTTCACTATGTTTCATTCATGTTCACTATAATGAACTTGGAATCCCCCAAGGAAAGAAGATTAGTTTTGACAATGGCTAATTCCAAAAAAAAAAAAAAAAGTTCCAGAATGAGCGTTTTTATCATCTGGGTTCATTTTCCTGAATTCTTCCTTACTGCCTGGGGGTGGGGAGCAGTCTCTGAAGCCTACTGGGGAGGACTTCACACTTTACTGTGACTTAATATTTTCTCCACTCCTAGTCCTTTCTCCTCTGTACTGTCAATTTTCTGTTACTATGACAACTTGCCTTTAAAGTAAAAAGGATGGTAGATTTATTATTTTTGTCCCACAGTTTTCTCCGTGCTCACTTGGCTGTGTGTGTGTGTGTGTGGTAATGAAGCAGAACTTGAAGGTAAAGAGCAGAGTGGAGTGAAGCTGCTCACCACATGGCAGCTGGGAAGCAGAGGAAGCACGAGGTCAGAAGGGCAGGCATAGAAATAGTCCCAGAGGCATGCTACTGTAGATGCTCATAGATTTCATCTCCCAATGCTCCATCCGAGTCTGAAGTCATCAAAGGAATAATCCATTCATGGGGTCAGAGCCTCCAACATATGTACCACTGGGGGACCTTTTTATACTCCATCCCTACTGCATTTGCCTGTCCACAATATTGCAGCAGAAGTCTTTTCAGGGTTCCCTGTGTGGTGAAGACCTATCTGTTAATGTACCTGACCTAGGTGTACTGTTTTGGGAGGGGGAAATAGGGAAGTAGATCACTTTTCTGGTTTAGTCTCTGTATTAGGGTTCTGTAGAGTCACAGATCTTCTAGAATGAATATATTAATCCACCCAGGAGGCTGATTGTCTCAGCTGGTCTTCCGTATATGCTGGAATCCCAAAGAAGTAGGCTCCAGAGCCAGTGAAAGAACAGATATGCTGACAAGGCAAGGGTAAACAGGCAAAGGAAGAATGAACAAACTTCCTTCTCCCGTTGTCTTTGGCCTCCAGCAGGTGTGCCCAGATTAAAGATGTGCCTTCCCACCTCAAAATCTGGATTAAAGGCAAGTGTCATCCTGCTTCGAGGTCTGGATCTCAGGTGTGCCCTCCATTTCTGGGTTGTACTTCATTTCAGATAGAGTCAAGTTGACAACCAAAGATAGTCACACAGTCTCTTACTCTATTTCAACATGTAATTAAAACCTTGACTGCTACTGTCTTAGGGTTTGTGTTGTGTAAAAACGTTGACCAAAAGCAACTTGGGAAGGAAAGAGTTTATTTTAGTTACAGAGTTCCATAGCACACTAGATCAATGAGGAAAGTTGGGAGGAACTCAAACAGGGCAGGAACTCTGTGTAGAGGCCATGGAGAACCAATGCTTACTTGGTTGCTCCTTACAGCTTGTTCAGCCTGCTTTCTTGTATATCCCTATAGTTGGAATTTTCTGTACAGCCCAGTCCCACCGCCCTTCAGTCCCAAATAAATACACACAGAGGCTTATATTAATTGTAAACAATTTTGTCAATGGCTCAGGCTTCTTATTGGCTAGCTCTCAATTATTAACACATTTTTATTAATCTATATATCCACATGGTCTTGGCTTACCAGAGAATGCCCAGGCATCCTAACTTCCCAGTGGCTACATGGTGTCTCTCTCTAGACTCACTATCTTCCTTCCAGAATTATTCTAGTCTGGTTGCTATGCCTGGCTACATCCTGCCTGTCCATTGGCTGAAACAGCTTTATTCATCAACCAATAAAAGAAACATTCACAGCATACAGAAGGACATCCCCCATCATTTCCTAGGACCACCTGCCCATGGGGGTGGCATAGCCCACAGTGAACTGGGCCATCCCACATCAAGAAAATGCCAGTATAGTGGGGAAGGGGTGAGGGTGTGTTCTCATTGATGTTCCCTTTCAAAAACTACTTAGCTTGTGATAAAACTGCCCAGCATGGTTACTTCCATTTTGTTTAAATCTGCTGTTCTAACAGTGGCAAGCTCATCTCTGGCTCTAGTTCCAAACCTCCCAGACCTTTTGCTTTCTGTCCATACACATACCATCCTGCTTCATATAGGGCTCTGACTATGTAACAAGTAGAAATGACTATTTCAACAAATACTAACCACCTAATATATGCTGTGCACTTGAGTGTGTCAGTGACAATACAAAGAGCCTGATGTCAGAGAAGCTACATCCATGAAATCTCATGAACGTAAGTGCCAAAACATGAACTGAACAAGAACACCACCAATAGATATGCTAAGATAGAAGGGGGAAGCTCACAAGGCCTCAACAACTAGAGACAACTAAGGGATGCTGAGAGTGGAAAATAGTCTTCTCCAGGGAAGAGCACATCAGTTTGTTATACAATACCAAATGGTATTGTACATGCATACATACACATACAAGCAACAGACTGAGCAGATTGTACTTACATATTTAAGAATACACACAGACATAAAGCAGCCATGGATTTGAAAGAGTAGAAGGAAGGAGGGAAGAAGGACAGAAAAGGGAGGAAATAATATAATTAGCAGATTGTACTTACATATTTAAGAATACACACAGACATAAAGCAGCCATGGATTTGAAAGAGTAGAAGGAAGGAGGGAAGAAGGACAGGAAAGGGAGGAAATAATAT